ATTAAATGTTTAATCGATTAGAAAATTAGCAGAATGTCGGCCAAAATCCATCTTGCTCCATCTTCTCCCACCGCCTTGCCACTGGGCTTCCTTTCATCACCATATTACCGGATGCTTCAGATTTATACACACGGTGAAAGATCTGTCTCATTGTTCTATCTGTGAGGTTACTGCTGGTGTGAGGAGAGGTGAGGCGTATCCTCAGCCAACTCCCTCCCTAGACGCCCCATTTCATTTGTTGTTTTGTGTGGTGCTCTGCTACCGTGCAAGGTTGTTCGGACGAATTAGCTGTCAATCTCCAACCAAACTCTATTTAGGGTAGGTTGATTAAGGGATCAGTAGGAGTTCCCAATGAGATTAAACCGGGAGCGGCTGCAGGTTAATGTGATATTGCGAGAGTCCGCGGACTTAATGCCATTTTCAGGTGCATTTACATTAGCTTGGTAGCTAGCGTGTCAGCTAACGCTAATTTACATCACAAGCCACTCGTTTTTTTAGGTTTTTTTTTTTCCACACAAGAAACTGAAGATGTCCGACTCCGACATAATGTCTTCAACTGAAGACCGAGCCAAGGAGATTCTGAAGGGTTTTAAACTGTATCCTTTTCAATGAATGGCTTGCCCGGTTGTTCACCTAGCTAAGTTAGTAGCAGCTAGCCAGGTGTTGTAGCTAGCTGGCTCTTGCTACTTGTCTTACATTGGCGTAACTAGTTAGTGAAACTAGCTAACTAATATTGTCAGTCTGATAGTTTAACGTTAGCGGGGTTGCTATTGTCTTTCTTGGCCATCCTGCTTCTAGCTGGTTTGCAAGTTACCTAGCTAGCTAACAGCCTAACTAGCCACCACATACATCTGCAGTGTCTAGTTAACTTTGGATAAGTTGACTATCTAGATAGTTAGTCAAATTGGACAAGGCGCTATTTAGATGTGCATGTAATATGCACACATAGGTTAGGTGTTAGCTAAATGGGTGCCTTACTCCTTAGCTAGTCAGCTGGCTGGTTCAGACTGGAATTTAACTTGGGTAGCCGTTTGCTGTTCATGCATACAGAACCGTATCGCCAATTGTCTTGACATTGCCTATGACTTGTACAGGAGCATCCTTTACTACATTACAACAGCCTGCCCAGTGGCTAACTTTATTCATCACAGACAATGCTCTTTAAAATAAGTGTCTGACTGGAAGGTTGATCTGTACTGAATCTGTTGGACATAACTTGAGCTGTTGGCAGGGGAGAGTGAAATCTGACAGTTTACCTCCAGCAATCATCACCATCTTAACTCAACATGCATTTTTAATCATACCATATTTAAACCATAGTGGAGCTTGTTTACCATTTTTGATGTACCTTCCATGGGTAATGTTTTTTTCTTCTCTCCTAGCTCACGTAGAAGCCTTTTCTCCGGTTTACATAATACCGGTCCCAAAATAGGCACAGTAATGCGGACGAGAATAATCACACCTGCGTTGCTTCCACCGACTTAACATGGACAACTGAAGGCCCATCATTATTTAATTCCACTCTGTACTTTACACATTACTTGGTAGTACTGAGGGTATATTCAGTGTTGAATAGGTAAGAATCCTGACTGTTGTGACAGGCTGTGGATTTGTGTGTGTGACCTTCCTTAGTCAGGCTTCATTTTCTAGGCTGGTAATTCTTAAATCCTTGATTTGCAAGGACAGGGATTTGCTGCCTTATGGTCCTCCTCCTAACAGGTCTGGTGACTGAGTTTAGTGTGTTACCACTGCATGGAGCCCTGGCCGCATACATATACTCATTTCAGGACCTTTACAAAGAAGTTAGGTATAGGTCTTGAATTTTTGGGTTGTAGGAATGTAGAGGACAGTCAAGCTGTTTTACGTTTAAATTGATCCTCCTGAGACCAAGCAATCGATTGTACTCTGAGGAATTGTCCGTCTTTGAACTAAGAACAAAAACTCCTTCCTTCCCCTTTATAGTTAGGTAACAAGCATCAGGTTAATTGTGATTACAACATCACAAAGAAACGGCAACAGTCACAGATTTCCTAAGGTTTTTCAACAAATTAATCTAGAAGTTGTGTATTTATTTGATGAAGTGTGTTGATCAGAGTGGTGGGCTGATCAAAGTTGTCTGTATCACTGTGTGCCATATGAGTATTGGGTTGAGGTTACAGGAACTATTCCCTGGCGTGACCGGCTTTTTGACCTGTAGGTCTTATGCAATAAAGATATTTATAGAAAGTTCTAGAAGTTGCTTCACAGCGGGGAGTATTCAAAGAAAGCACAAGGCCTGCTACAACTCAGCTTCAGTACCAATTTGCTTATTTGCAGATTGATAAGAGTATTGTGGTTGCTTTCAGTTAGTACACTTTCTAAGGCTAGCATAATATTCACATTCTGTAATGAATGTAGGTATAACCTGAAAGTGTGAGTCCCTAGTGTGCTTCTTAATCAGATGTGAAACTTTGATTCCTGGGAACTGCCTTGCGTCCATGAATAACTCAGTATTGTGTTCCATACTGAAGCCTATATTTTCTGGGTAATGTGCTGAGGCTCCTATCCTCCATAGTACACTAGTCTATTTTATAAAGCCTAACATCAGTAGTCCCTTCATTGCCCTACAGTAGTTCATTGTATGGCAAAACCTCTCAGCAGAAACTCTAGAAATTATAGTAGCTAGGTTAATTCGACATCTGACAAAGTCCATACATGACTCAGTTGAGTTCCGTTTCTTAGTATGATGGTACATTGGGCTTCCAGGCCTATACAAGAGCACGGTGCTTCAACATGGCCTCTGTTATATCCCTAAGACAGGCAGAGGCTGGCCTCTGAGGAGAATGCAGTGTGCACTGCAGCCAGCTTCCCCTGAGTGGACATGACTTGCATGTAATCTGTCCCTGAAACAAACTGATCCACAGAACTATGTGAACACAAGGACTTGCTAACCAAACAGTGGTAGTCTTGAGTTGATGCTGGGCTATGCTATTTGCTACTGCAGAAGTTTTTCAATGAGTGGCATAAACCATGTGTTTTTGACAGTTAGGCCTGTGTATAGATAAAATTGTATGATTTTAGCAACACTGCTTACTTAGTGAGATGTAGCCTTTTTCATGTCTTGTGTCTATTGCATGTGTATTGGTCATGCATGCACGTGTTTTGCATCAAGGAGCTACTCTTTAAAAATGGATGGGGCTTTAGGGAGGCTAGCATGCCCATAGGGGCTAATTAAGAAGCCTGTTTGAGTGTGTTGGGGGACCCGGGTCTAACCCCCCCCCTCCCCCCGCGGATCTCCTCTGCGTAGCACCAGGGATCTCAGTAGGTGTGATCCTGGAGACATCTGTCACCTCTTCCACCACCGGGCCTAACTGTAGTTAGCTGCAGAATAAATGTAAACTTGACATCCCTATCCAGGCCTATTATGATGTATGTGTCGTTTAGGCCCTAGTCTTTGACCTTGGAATGTACTTGAAACATTTAGCTGATGAGCTTAATTAACAACATGGAGGCCATGTTTTTTTAATAATTCACATTGAAAAAGTAGCAGCAGCAGTTCTTATTACAATTCATTCATAAACGGTTAGCTGGGTAGACTCAGCTTTGTCCCCCAGACAGTAATTGTCCAGCAGGACTGACAACTGTTCAAATCAATTAAATTGTCTAAGAGGTAACAGACAGACAACAAACCACTTCACACAAAGCATCCCAGTCCCAGTCATGTTCAGAGATTGAAAAGGGGGGCCTATACAGGCCTATGTTTTCTGAGGAAATTTCTATTAAGATGAGAGCACTGCATACTGTAGAGACTGAGGATCATTCTAGAAGGATGTGGAAGCTGCTGGGAGGGAGGCAACTGAGCTAGCTGACCCAGTGTTGGTGGGCTCACTGGGCTGCAGTCAGATTTGAAAGGTTTAAATGATTCAAAGCGCCACTAGTTTCATCTCTCTAAGACAGCCCTACTCTACAGTAGCTTGCTAGCCAAGCTCAGTGTTGAGGTTGGTTGCGTCATGTTTCCGTGACAACTTATTTTCCTACCTGCTGTTTTGACATTGACCATCATTCTATATTTAGTCAAGGCCCTTTATTAGTTTTAAAGAATTTATCCTATGTGGGGAATGACTTGACCGACACTATGCTCCTCCATTTTCATTGTTTGGCTGTTTGAAGCTGGTGCTGTGCAGGCTGGTGCTGACACCCTGTTGCTCTGTCTGTGTTGGGCAGGAGGATGAAGAGCAGCACAGATGGTTTTGAGACTGGGGACAGGGTTCAGGTGCTTCTGACATAGTACCCTCTAGTTGACACACGACCGCTATAGCTTCAGGTTGGCTTTTTATTCCCAGAGCTGAGTTTAGAAATTATTTGTTCTGTCTGTTAGCTCTTGCACCAGCTGGAGTACTGTTACCCACTTGCCTTGCACCACATGCCCTATTAGAGGTTAGCTAGTAGTAGCTACATAATCATGGGCGGCTTTAATCCACTAAAATTGGCCACTCCAATAAAGTAACATGACGTGAGAGCTGGTGTAAATGACTAGGGCCACACACGGCGGCACTTGAAGATTTTTTTTCTGGAGTATACAAATAGGTCTACACAGCTTTCACTTTTGGCTTTAACACATGCCAGTGTTTCCCCTGTATTCGCACCACCGCTGCTAAATTGTTGCTGCCACACCCCAAAAAATAAACTTTCAGAGTGAACTTAAATGACTAAAACCGGACAGTATGTAGAAAAGAGAATTTACCTAATATATTTTTTTACAATATGATCTTTGAGAACTAAAAATCACCCAATAGTTTAGTGGCAGCCAACTGAAAAACAATCATAGCTTGATGGATCAGGGTTTCCTGTTATCCTGGGTGCCACCTTGAGGAATACTGGCGTTACTTAATTGATCCCCTGAGGGAAATTCTTGCCACAAACTATAGACAAAAACACTACATATTGAAATAACATGGACAAGGCTACATTTGTCAAACCCATGGCTGTGTGTAGTATTCCTTGACTCCTGGTCTCCCAGAAACTGGATGAACCTGCGTGATGCTGAGACTGGGAAAGTGCTGTGGCAGGGAACAGAGGACCTGTCTCTTCCTGGGGTCGAACATGAAGGTACTGGCACCTCCTGGCTGGTTTACTGTCGGCTTTCCTCCTGGTGTAGAACGTGTATTACTAGGCCATATCTTCCTACCACTACCAAGATGGCCACTCTGTTCTTTTTGTGATTTTATTTTATTAAACATATAAATAAATACTGGGGTTGATGCATACAATAGGCTTTACAGACGTCAAATTGGAAATGTAAACAAAGAGATTGCTGGCAAATAAAACAAATCTAACTTTATTTTAAAGAAGCAAGGCATTCACAGCAACTCTGACCATTTCAATAATGACTGTCCACGGCCTCAGTCCTGCTTTGATAACCACTTAGGTCTAACCATCCCAGCAGTCTGGCAGTTTGTCCTCGAGCTTGAACCCTAACAATGTCAAAATTAGGCTTGTGCGATAGACCGTTTATACTGTATACCGGGGTATTTCAAAATAGACAGAATGATTTTCAATACCGTAGAGGGGAAAAAAGCAGTGCGTGCTACACCACTGCTTATAACTATTAGTTGAGTATAACATCTAAGATGTCAAATTATATCCAGCTCAGGGCTAAGTGGCTAGATGTCAAGATCAAGCGTCTTGGTTACAGCAGAGCCATTCAATCCCCTCCTGGATCAGGATCCATGTTGCCAAAAATTTTTGCATATTTTTTTTTATGGTAAAGAAAATAGAAATTGCGCTCCTTGTGTGCACATTTGGGAATACCGTATACCCCGGTATAGTACAGAAACTGAATAACTGTATGACAAGCTGGATACCGCCCAACCCTAGTTAAAATGCCCAAAATGATTATCAATTTACCTCTACACATAGTTATATCAATGTTGTGTATATTACAATCTATAGAAAATGCAGGTAGTTAGAAAGTATATTAGAATCTCTTATGGGAGAAAGTAGCCTAGCTCTTGGAAAACATCAGGCTGTTGCTTTGAGTGCAATCTATTCTCTCCTAATTAGTAGTTTGACGGTCCCATTCATTTCCTTGCAGCTCGAGTCCCCAAGAAAATACTCAAGTGCAAAGCTGTGTCCAGAGAGCTAAATTTCTCTTCGTCAGAAAAGCTGGAAAAGTTCCGCCTTGAACAGAAGGTTTTCTTCAAAGGCCAATGCTTAGAAGGTACTAGTCTATTTGATCTGTTTCAATAATCATGTTTATTATAGATGTACTCTATAAGAATACAATGTCTGTGCATAGTGAATTCAATCATTAAATGTCTCTCTACCTGCAGAATGGTTCTTTGAGTTTGGCTTTGTGATTCCCAACTCCACAAACACATGGCAGTCTTTGATAGAGGCAGCGCCAGAGTCTCAGATGATGCCCGCAAATGTTTTAACGTAAGAGGAAATCCATTTTTTTTTGGGCTTTTTGGTCATTCCCCTGCAGTTGGTTTGTGCAATTGTTTGTCAGTAGTATAAAACATGCACTCACTAGGCTACATCTTGAATAAGTAATTAGGCTACAGTGAAATATTCCTTCACTTATTTATTCTATGCCAAACTTGCAGGAAACCGTCATTTCCTTTATATGGGACTGCTTTGTCTCAGTGTTTGCTGATTTGTAATGTTTCTTTCTCTCCCTTGCAGTGGGAATGTTGTTATAGAGACCAAGTTCTTTGACGACGACCTTCACGTCAGCACCTCCCGGGTACGACTTTTCTACGTCTGAAGGGGAACACATTTTTTTAATTTTTCCAGTCCTTGAAGGGGGGAGGACCAGGCATACACTGCTGATTGTTGTTTTTCAGTGGTCACAGGAGGCCACGTTCGAAGGAGTGCATTTGTCTTCTACAGTGACAGCAGCACTAAAGAAACCAAAATCCAACCAAGTCATCAAGATCACACTGGCTTCTTGGCAGACAATTGTTTTTGTATGTAAATATCTATATATATATATATATATTGACAATGCTTATGACAAACAACCATGTAAATTATTTTATTTGTACATTATTTTTTTCCTTGTCATTCCAGAAATGTAACCCTAAGATGGTACACCGCTCTGTCACCTTGCATTTTTAATGTTTGCTTCCAGTTGATGTTGTGGTTGCTGATGTTCTCATTGTTAGGATTTTTTTTTTAGCTGTAACTAAATCTGTAAAATAGACTGTTTATTACTACAATTAAAATATGTCCCAAAAAAAACATTGCTTTCTTTTTTGTAGTTGAAGTTTAACTAACTGAATGATTAAGTTGTTCATGCTTAAGATATTTTGTCTCCTGAGAGTACAAACTTGCCAAGTAAGGCACCTGTATGAAAATAGAACTAACCAGTTCTTCATATTTTAACTACAGCCACTCAACACTTTAATAAACCTGTGGGCTGTTAAGGGTAGTCTTAGCGAAATGACAAGCAGCGCTGCAGATCTTGAGATGCAAGACTTCACACACAGTGTGGTAGTCACAGGACCAAAACAGTGGAAGTTGAGCCTTGCGCTTCAAAGCTCTTGTTGTGAAAATTGACCCCACTATGCTGTTTACTTTCTGTATCTATACTGAACGAAAGTATACATGTAACAATTTCAACGATTTTACTGAGTTACAGTTCATACAAGGAAATCAGTCAATTGAAATGAATTAAGCCCTAATCTATGGATTTCACATGACTGGGCAGGGGTGTAGCCGGGGGGATGAAATAGGCCCACCCACTTGGGAGCCAGGCCCAGCCAATCAGAATGAGGTTTTTCCCCACAAAAGGGCTTTGTTACAGACACATACTCCTTAATTTCATTAGCTGTCCGGGTGGCTGGAAGCTGGAGGTGGAGGTGGAGGTGGAGGTGGAGGTGGAGGTCCTGGGCTGGCGTGGCGTGGTCTGCGGTTATGAGGCTGGTTGGACGTACTGCCAAATTCTCCAAAACGACATTGGCTTATAGTAGAGAAATTAACATTAAATTATCAGGCAACAACTCTGGTGGACATTCCTGCAGTCAGCATGCCAATTGCACACTCCCTCAACTTGAGACATCTGTGGCATCGTGGTGTGACAAAACTGCACATTTTAGAGTGGCCTATTATTGTCCCCAGCACAAGGTGCACCTTTGTAATGATCATGCTGTTTAATCAGCTTCTTTATATGCCACACCTGTCAGGTGGATGGATTATCTTGGCAAAAGAGAAAAGCTCACTAACAGGGATGTAAACAAATTTGTGCACACAATTTGAGAGAAATACGCTTCTTGTGCGTATGGAACATTTCTGGGATTTTTATTTCAGCTCATGAAACATGTGACCAACACTTTACATGTTGCGTTTTATATTTATGTTCAGTATATGTCATATCACTGAGTCTACCTTTAACTTTGAATGTACTCCATTGAACGCAAGCCCACGAGGGCAGCTATGTAATTTCTAGCTGCATTGAACTACAAGTCCCTGAAAGCCTTTCACCTGAATGTGCAAAGACAAAGTTGTGTCTGATGACCATAGAGAGAGAGGGAACTCTTTGTAGCTGTGTCATTATAGCGTCTGTGACAGCTCAATGGCGCTGCCCGTGCTATCTCCATTCTGAAGTAGTCAATGTTCTTCTTCATTGGCTGATCCCTTCTAATGACCCGGTTGGACTTGACTCTGACAGGGTCACCAGGATGGATCAGCCAATGAAGTTGGAAGTCCCACCTAGTTGACTACATCAAAATGGTGGAAGCCCTTAATGGGATTGCCCATGTTAATACAGACTTTTGGCCACTAGAAGCCTCTATCATTCTCTATGGTGATGATACGTTCATTGGTGACGACCTTGGATATCCACTGCAAGCATGGCGAATAAAGAGCCTAACGTGAGTATTTCAAATACCAACCACACTTACTAAAGACAGTCAAGATATACCTTATTATTGTGAAATTACTTTGTATTCTAGACAAACATGTGTTATTGCCTTATAACGTTAGACTATGCTTTAAAGAGGAGATCGAGGTAGCTAACTTAGCTAGCAAGCTAACGGTGTTAGCTAATAGCTAGCTACGCAGGTAGTTTTCTGACTTGCCTATCCTCAAAGCTTAACAATGCCAGCTTTCAAACTATAGATAGGTATTTTTTTTAGATTTCATATAGAAGTGAAGGTTTGCCAATTTAGGTAAACTGCTCCCTAACCAGCTAGAAACAGGCCAGTTCTCATGTTGCATCACATGTTGCTAGCTTGAATGACTGATAATATTAACTAGTCAAATTTAGCTAGGTAGTTTCTTGATGAATTATGGGAAAATATCGTCATTTGGAAAAACCTGTGTGAATGTATGTGTGTGTATGCAATAATGTGTGTATGTAATAATGTATATATGTGTCAAGTTTGGATACTTGAAAAGGAAAGCCGCACACTCTCGGAGCTCAGATGCAATAATTTAATATCCTAATAACCAACGTTTCGACAGACCAGCTGTCTTCATCAGGGTATAATGACAAACACTGCGGGTCACTAGTTTATATAGTGTCAAAGGACACACGCAGGTGTCTGTAATCATGGCCGGGTGTGGCCTAATAGCATTGGTTAATTCACAGATAAACAACATACAGAAAACATGGATAGCATACGATCATAGATACAAGTTGGCTACATAGGCCCACAAACATTTGGATACACCGACTCATTCAAGGGTTTTTCTTTATTTTTACTATTTTTTCCATTGTAGAATAATAGTGAAGACATCAAAACTATGAAATAAAACATATCGAATCATGTAGTAACCAAAAAAGTGTTAAAAAAAATCAAAAACATATTTTATATTTGAGATAAATAATAATATAATATGCCATTTAGCAGATGCTTTTATCCAAAGCGACTTAGAGATCCTTCAAAGTAGCCACCCTTTGCCTTGACAGCTTTGCACACTCTTGGCATTCTCTCAACCAGCTTCATGAGGTAGTCACCTGGAATGCATTTCAATTAACAGGTGTGCCTTGTTAAAAGTTGATTTGTTGAAATGTCTTTCCTTCTTAATGCATTTGAGCCAATCAGTTGTCTTTTGAGAAGGTATGGGTGGTATACAGAAGATAGCCCACATTTTGGTGGTGGGGGGGTTACTACATGATTCCATGTGTGTTATTTCATAGTTTTGATGTCTTCACTATTATTCTACAATGTAGAAAATAGTAAAAATAAAGAAAAACCCTTGAATGAGTAGGTGTGTCCAAACTTTTGACTGGTACTGTGTGTGTAATATATATATATATATATATAACTTTTTAGGAATGACATTACATTTACATTTACATTTTAGTCATTTAGCAGACGCTCTTATCCAGAGCGACTTACAGGAGCAATTAGGGTTAAGTGCCTTGCTTAAGGGCACATCGACAGATTTTTCACCTAGTCGGCTCGGGGATTAGAACCAGCGACCTTTCAGTTACTGGCACAACGCTCTTACCCACTAAGCTACCTGATCAGGCGGCTTTGCGAGGCTAGGTGGGTGGCTTTTGATCACTTTATTGGATTCCTCATGTCTTACTCATTGCTAGGAGGAATTATGGTCCAAATCGGATGCTAGGTACTATATTTATTGACGACCATATGAATCCAATAAATAAAAACAATGGGCATTTTGGGTGCAATCAATTAGAGGCCCAGTGCAGTTAAATATGAGGTTGGAATAACACCGTGAAATTATGATAATGCCCTTCTAGTTTAAGAGCTGTTTGAAAAGACTATACCCTGATGAAGACAGCTTGTCTGTCGAAACATTGGTTATTAGGATATTAAATTATTGCATCTGAGCTCCTAGTGTGCTTTCCTTTTCTTTTTGAACTGTTTGAAAAGACTGCCTGAAATTTCTGCCTGGGATGGAGTTTTGGCCTGCTTGGTGACATCACCAGGCGGTAATTTAGTTAATAGACCAATAAGATAGAGTTCCAAACATCTCTGCCAATAACAACTAGTTCAGGTTTCCCTTCCCCACTGGGACCACTCCCCAAATTCTTGCTTGAGAAATGGCGCTTTGCTAAGAAGCTATTTTTGTTTATTTTTGACCATTTTAATTTAAAACAATCACAGTAATGTACTTAATTGTCACCCAGAAAATATTTGAGTTTGAGATAAACATGGCTGCATTGGACCTTTAATTTCTCAGAGATCAAATTATATTTCAACAAAACAATGTTTCAGGAATGCCAATCTTATCCGTTTCTAACTACAGAAATGATTACGGCACAATCTGAGATGGTGGTTGTGGAAATCCTCTTACTAAGTGCTTTTTGAGGTGGAACGACCCTCATCCCTGTTTATTCAAGCTGAACCCAGAAATCGCACACAACAGCAAAGGGAATGCGTGCAGGATTACACTTTTTGCCAAAGATGATTGCATGATAAGCTGTGGCTTGAGTAACTTTCATAGACTCCAAATTCATAATCACGGCATAACTGCGACAGTTCTGGATCACATAATAATAATAATAAATTACATTTGTAAAGCACTTTTCATTAAACAGAATAATCTCAAAGTGCATAAAATTAATTTAAAATCAAATATAAAACCATTTCTTGGGACAACTAGACAGGGCAACTGACACAAAGAACACAGCTGACGCTATAAGTGACAAGGACACCAAAGAGCCCAGCTATCTTTATCGAACTCTGCATTGTTGGAAAAGGACTCGTAAGTAAGCATTTCACTGTTAGTCTACACTTGTTTACAAAGCATATGACATGGCGGCCGCGGTGTAACTTAGAAGTAGCCCAAAAACCTGCGACCAATACATTTTAACCCGCGACATCGTTTTCAAAGTACACCAATTTGGTCATGGCAACCCTGTCATCAGACATGCAGGTAGCTGAGAACGCTCAACTCCGCCTCCATATAAGAAAACAGAGTTGCGCGTTCGTCAGCTAACATGCAGATAACTTGCATATCAGTTTCTACGTGGAATACATTGTTTTAAGTGCTGCTTAAACTTGGATAGTTCACATGCTCATTCATTACTCGATGACCTGCACAATCCACAGTTCCATAATACTATAAATGGTCAAAAATATTTCAGATGGAGATGAATGACACTGACAGGTCCTAGCCACAGTACCCATTAAGACCACCAGATGGGGTAATGGTGTTAAATTAGCTGGACCATCACAACAAGCCCTCCAAAACACTTAATGTGCGGTCTATTACTGACCTGATGATAAATAAGCTTTATAATATTTTGTGAAGAAATAAGCTCTGTTCAATAGCAACGACACCTGACATTACATTTTTGTTCGTATTCCCAGCGGTTCCTGACAAACCTGAGGGACCTGGCCAGTCGTATGTCTGGCGCGGGGGGCAAGGGAGCAGGAATAGGTCTCAAGCTGCTCATTGGGGCTGGAGCTCTGGCCTATGGCGTCAAAGAGGCTACATTCACAGGTAGGCCTAACCTAGCGTATGGTAGTGAAATGGGTAACACTATTATCACGATCATGAGTGCACCCCTCTAACGTTGTGTGAAATGGTTTGTTCCCAGTGGATGGAGGTCAGAGAGCGATCATCTTCAACAGAATCGGGGGGATGCAGATGGACACAGTGCTGGCTGAGGGACTGCACTTCAGGTAGGCCTACACTGTCTGACTCTGTCCAGGGGTTTATAATGAAGCCAGGGTTGTTATGTTCAGTTTGCTCGACTTAATGCAAAGCTAAATTCACATGACCATATTGAAACTGAACTATTTTTGTTGTTCTTCAGGATACCATGGATCCAGTACCCCATCATCTATGACATCAGAGCAAGGCCCAGGAAGATTGCTTCACTAACTGGAAGCAAAGGTACATGATTGCTGAAATAGGGGGATTCATTGAAATCCAGTATGGATACATGTAGACCAATACATTATGTCCAGCAGATCAGTAAAGATTTGAGGCTTTCAGATCAGTAAAGATAGAAGATACAGCCCTGACTTCTCTCTCCCTGTCTCTCCTACCTCTGTAGATCTGCAGATGATAAACATTGGGCTGCGTGTGCTGTCCCGTCCTGTGGCCGCCAACCTGCCCGCCATGTACCAGCAGCTGGGGAAGGACTATGACGAGAGAGTACTACCCTCCATCGTCAACGAGGTGCTGAAGAGCGTGGTGGCCAAGTTCAATGCCTCGCAGCTCATCACTCAGAGAGCACAGGTACTGCCACACAGTCTCAGGATTATATGGGACAAAGGTTGTGTACCTAGCCAGTCTGTTTAAAAAGCGACTACCCCTAAAAAGCAACTTCTCGTTTTGAAAATGGCCTATGTGGCATCAATGGTCATTAAAAAAAAAAAGATTATAGTGTCAAAATATACTACAAAGTGTAAATAGGATAATTTTGTTCATAAAGTCAGTCTCGTCCAAAACTGAGATTTGGGAGATAATAGGAAAAAATGGAATGAAGGGTACTGTAACAGTTTTCCTTTGGTTGGGTTTATTTCTATCCTACCCACAGCTGGCAGCACCCAAGTAATCATCAATTCGGAGCGCAGCTGCACGTAACCCAATCGTAATGCCCATGGTCAATTTGGTTTGACATTCGATATCCCTATGGGGATAGTTAGGGACCATTAGTAAATTACACAATGTACATGGGACAATATTTTCAAATGTCAATAGCTCCAAATTTCAATGAGTAGGTTTACTAATAATTTGATATTAAACTGATTATGTCAGTAGGCAGATTATGCAATAGTCATGTAAACACCTTACTCTGCTTATCTTAATCAGTGTGAGGTCAAAATCGAAGTAAGCATACGCCGATTAAAAACCTTGTTTTCTGAGCAATTTTTTGAATTATTACGACATGTAAACACCTTAATCGGCGTTCTAGCGGGGTGCATTTGATCTGCGCATGTGCTAGCATCAGCCGAGCGAGCCTCCGTCTTTAGCGCGAGTGAAGTGAGTTCGGAACAACAATGTGTGCGTCTTAGAAGTACTTTTCACTTACAAACTCTATATGTCTGAACAAAAATAGCATGGTCGCTGTGATAGAATGTTTATTTTGATTTGCAGATTTTCTGCATTTATCAGCGTGCCATCTGATTTCAGATGTGTCCATGTAAACAGGATTATTAGGGAAATTGTTCTTCTTCCAAAGCATATAAACGTTTTAATCGAACTATTATATTAATTCGACTATCCACAATAATCTCATTGTGTGCATGTAACCGTAATCATTGATTTTAAAAACCTCAAACCAACTATAAATTCATATACAAATATTGAAAGCATTTAATGAGACAACTAAAATATGTGCAATATGAAAATATTTTCCCATTTACATTGTGTGATTTATTGACGGTCCTTAACTAGCCACAGAGATACCAACTTTGCCATGGTCGCACACCAGCTGGCTATAGCTAATTGGCGAAAGAAGTTGGATAGCTCTAGCTAGCTAGTCTAGGGGACTTCGACAAAAGACCTGGTTAGACTGTTTTCATGTTGTCTAGAAGGGACACCTACATTATCCCCCGAGACAACTCTCGTTTGGCTTCAGTCATGGCCGCTGCATTTCTTAATGACCAAGCTGGAAAAACGAGGCCAAATCAGGAAGTTCAGCCCCCTTTAAAAAAAACAAAATAGAGTGATGTGAACCAATGCTTATTTTTAGCCCTTTTCTTGTCTATAACCGTCTGTGTGCTGTGTTCCTTTTGTGTAGGTGTCATTGTTGATTCGCCGAGAGCTGTTTGAGAGGGCCAAAGACTTCAACATTATCCTGGACGACGTGGCCATAACAGAGCTGAGCTTCAGCAGAGAGTACACTGCTGCCGTAGAGGCCAAACAAGTTGGTATGTACCTGCCACAATGTGTGCGCATGTGTGTTGGGGATGGTGTATATGGCTGTCTGTGGATGCATACTTGCCTGTGTTTTAGATTTTGTCTGCATATGTGTGTGGGTTAGTCAATGCGCTAATGTGTGTTAGTAGATTGCTTGTGCCTGCATAGAGTTTAAACAAAGCTTGTGTGTGTCTCCGCAGCCCAGCAGGAGGCCCAGAGAGCCCAGTTCTACGTGGAGAAAGCCAAACAAGACCAGAGACATAAGATTATCCAGGCAGAGGGAGAGGCAGAGGCTGCCAAGATGGTAAAACATTAACCTCACCACAACCTTTGGACGACCTGTCCCCTCGTCTTCACATGACCTTGCACGACCTCAAACACCAGGCTGATTATTCTAGTCAACAATTGTTTTTTTATTGACTTTAGCATGTTAAATGAATTACAAATTCATTCATACATACAAGCATTCATTCTGTCTCTTTGTGTTGTAGTTGGGACAAGCAGTGACAAAGAATCCTGGATACCTGAAGCTTCGACGAATTAGAGCTGCCCAGGCCATTGCTAAGACAGTGAGTTCTATACAGCGTTGTTCCTATATAAAGGAACTGGATATCAATGAATATGTCATGATAATTGTTCAGAACTACTTGATTAATTAGGCATTGAGGAAATAGTTAATCATCCTCAGAGGCTCTGTGATGTTATTGTCCTAATCAGACATTGTTCCAGTCAGAATGGGGTCAATCATTTTAGCAGGCTGTGTTTGTTGTGGCTGTTTGGTTCTCATTGCAATGGTAACCCACAGTGCAGTTAGCTGGTTATATCATTATCAATAAGGCTGAGGAATGTCTGTTTCCCTTATGCTACGAGCTGCTACGAGACTAGCTATGTGACGCTGTGTCTGTCTCTGTGTATTGTCTTTCAGGTGGCAACGTCCCAGAACAAAGTGTACCTTTCCGCAGACAACCTTGTCCTTAACCTTCAAGACGACTCTTTTAACAAGTATGTTTCTCTTAGCTTCACTCTCTCTTAGCTTCATTCTCATATCATCATGCCCTAGTCTGGCTCTGTCCTCTCTTTCATGGCGCTACACCGCCCAGATGGTTTGTTTCAGTTGCCTCAAGCAAGGTTAGAGCTGAAATATTGAATGTTCAGTTTCCTGCACTATCACATTTCCCATGGAAAAGTAGGAATTCCACCAAATTCCCTAAAGATGCCCTGAGTTTTTTGAAGCGGCTCCATACTGGCATTGATGGTAGCTTGAAGATAACCACATTTTTAGCAAAACCATGACTAATGGCTGCTCTTCTCACATTGCCTCCAGTGTGCATGCTGTGTCATTTTCACAGCATAGGCCTATGGCCACCAGGGGTGTTCATTTAAGCACCAAATGGAAAACCACAACTGAAACAGGGAGGGACTATCTGGACTTGTCCAATAAGAAACACTACTTGTCCTTACAAAACGTTTTTTTAAAAGTTTTGTTACGTGTGCGCTAATGAACACGACCCTGGTTTTTGCTTTCCATGTCACTGATTTTGCCTGGTCACTGGAATGGAAATGACTAGTCAGATTATCACACTGAAATAGTTCTCGGCTTATTTTAATGCTGCCAAGGATCTTCAATGTCCATACGTAACTGATCATAGAAACTGACACACAACCTGGTGCCAAATGCCTGTCATTCATTCCTCATACATGTTATATTATTATACAGTTGAGAATAAGACCGAAAAAAACCTGGGAGTACCATATACCATATGTTCAGCAAAGCAACCAATCCATCCCATGCGTATTGATGTACTTTTGACTGAAATCAGTCTTGTCAGAGTCTGGAGAAACCGTCAAAAATATGACTTATTTTTTTTCTCTCAGATGCTGTAATCTCTCATTGTATCATCCCTGTACGTTTTAGAGCACTTTAAATATACTATGGATTTACATTTTTATACTGTATCATTAACACGTACAACCCCCTTTGCTTGTGTTTCAGTCTATCACTGGGAAAGAGGTAGGTTGTTGAAGGCTCTAGCATTCCACCTGTCTGAAGCTCCATCCACAGCTAAAACCAGTCGGTCTCTCTGTCCACCTGCCTATATCTCTGATTGTATCTCCAAGTGGCTTACCGACTCACTGGAGAAGACTCTAAAGCATCGGATTGCTGTGTGTATGACATGGATAGGGTCAGGCGGAACCTGCAGCGATATAATATCTTCATGCTCCCCTCCAGAAAAGATCTGAAATCAATAATGTTTGTGGGATCAAACCAAATAGCACTAGACTATGAGACATAATTGGCTGCTTTTGTTATTAATAAGTTGTGCAGATGATGCTGTAATGATATAAATAAGGAACCCTACTTGTTCTGTCTGGCCCTAGATGTGTACATGTGTTTTGAGGACAGCAGGACTAGACTCTTGGTGGATCAAATATGTCAGAGTGAAATTGGACAAAGGCTGCACTGGAATGGTGTGTGTAAAAAAAATACAAATAAAATACAAATAAAAAAATATTTTAAGATGTGCTTGTGGAATGAAGGTGAAGTTATGACTTTGTCTTTTATTTTATATGCAACTGCACTGTTTACTGCTGGGCCTAGCTGCCCTATGTCGTTGTGTTGTTGAATTATGACCATGCTATCTGATACGCTTCTGCTATGGTACAGTACTACTCAGCGTGATCAAGGTCTGCCAAAAAGATTCCATCCACTGGTTTGAAGTGGAGAGGAAGGCTTTGCTCTTCTATGTATTATTACATTGTTCACCTGCAGCGGATTGAGACATGACTGAAAATAAAGGGGGACAGCACAATAAATATTTTTTTATTTCAATGACCTGTTATATGTGTGGGTGCATGCAGGTGCATTTATTGTTGTTGAAAAACACATGCCTATGTAAGGAAAGTCTCACTATTTTCCACTTTCAGTTTTTCTGAGAAATGAAATGTTCCCATGACTTAATCAGACATCTTAGATAACAGTACATCCTGTTATTGTACTAGGGGGATCTTTAGCTATACATTTACAATGACATTAAAGCCTCTACATGACTGCTCATCTGGATTTAATGTATTGTTGCTGGCATATGCTTCCCTGGTGACCTGTGAGATGGGAATCGAACATACAGTGCATTCGGAAAGTATTCAGACCCCTTCCCTTTTTCCACATTTTATGTTACAGCCTTATTCTAAAATTGATTACATTAATTTTTCCCCTCATCAATCTACACACAATACCCCATAATGACAAAGTGAAAACAGGTCTAAAAAATAAAACAGCAATACCTTATTTACATAAGTATTCAGACCCTTTGCCATGAGACTCCATAAAAAAAAAGCACCTTTATTTAACCAGGTAAGCCAGTTGAGAACAAGTTCTCAATTACAACTGCGACCTGGCCAAGATAAAGCAAAGCAGTGCGATAAAAAACAACAACACAGAGTTACATATGGGATAAATTGAGCTCAGGTGCATCCTGTTTCCATTCATCATCCCTCAGATGTTTCTACAACTTAATTGGAGTCCAACTGTGGTAAATTCAATTGATTGGACATGATTTGGAAAGGCACACACCTGTCTATATAAGGTCCCACAGTTGACAGTGCATGTCAGAGCAAAAACCAAGCCATGAGGTCGAAGGAATTGTCCGTAGAGCTCCTAGACAGGATTGTGTCGAAGGTACAGATCTGGGGAATAGTACCAAAAAACACAGTGGCCTCCATCGTTCTTAAATGGAAGAAGTTTGGAACCACCAAGACTCTTCCTAGAGCTGGCCTCCCGGCCAAACTGAGCAATCGGGGGAGAAGGGCCTTGGTCAGGGAGGTGACCAAGAACCCGATGGTCACTCTGACAGAGCTCCAGAGTTCCTCTGTGTAGATGGGAGAACCTTCCAGAAAGACAACAATCTCTGCAGCACTCCACCAATCAAGCCTTTATGGTAGAGTGGCCAGACGGAAGCCACTCCTCAGTAAAAGGCACATGACAGCTTTCTTGGAATTTGCCAAAAGGCACCTAAAGGACTCAGACCATGAGAAACAAGATTCTCTGGTCTGATGAAACCAAGATTGAACTCTTTGGCCTGAATGCCAAGCGTCACGTCTGGAGGAAACCTGGCACCATCCCTACGGTGAAGCATGGTGGTGGCAGCATCATGCTGTGGGGAAGTTTTTCAGCGGCACGGACTGGGAGACTAGTCAAGATCGAGCGAAAGATGAACGGAGCAAAGTACAGAGAGATCCTTGATGAAAACCTGCTCCAGAGCGCTCAGGACCTAAGACTGGGTTAAAGGTTCACCTTCCAACAGGACAACAACCCTATGCACACAGCCAAGACAACGTAGGAGTGGCTTTGAGACAAGTCTCTGAATGTCCTTGAGTGGCCCAACTAGAGCCCGGACTTGAACCCGATCGAACATCTCTGGAGAGACCTGAAAATAGCTATGCAGAGACGCTCCCCATCCAACCTGACAGGGCTTGAGAGGATCTACAGTGAAGAATGGGAGAAACTCCCCAAATACAGGTGTGTCAAGCTTGTAGCGTCATACCCAAGAAGACTCAAGGCTGTACCTGCCAAAGGTGCTTCAACAAAGTACTGAGTAAAGGGTCTGAATACTTATGTAAATATGATATTTCTATTTTGTTATACATTTGCAAAAAAATTCTACAAACCTGTTTTTGCTTTGTCATTATGGGGTATTGTGTGTAGGTTGATGAGGGGGGGGGAAAAAACAATTTAATCCATGTTAGAATAAGGCTGCAACGTAACAAAATGTGGAAAAAGTCCAAGGGTCTGAATCCTTTCCGAATGCACTGTACATGTAGACTAATTTCCTCCCACTTAAATGTTTGCTTTTGATTCAGAATCTGGACCCCACTGCTCCCCTTCTATGTGCTGCATAGCATCAGCCTCTAGCATCTGGTTGTGGTTATTTGCCCCCACACGGAGAGAACTCATCTATATTTACTTTGTTGAACTACACGTCCTCCTGAATCCTTTATGTTCCAGTAAGAAGTTGCCCTTAGGCGTAGAACTATACTGAACAAAAATATAAACGCAACATGTAGTCACGTAATTAGTTAAATAAAGTCCATCTGTGTGCAATCTAAGTGTCACATGATCTCAGTATATACACCTGTTCTGAAAGGCCCCAGAGTCTGCAACACCACTAAGCAAGGGGCACCACCAAGCAAGCGGCACCATGAAGACCAAGGAGCTCTCCAAACAGGTCAGGGACAAAGTTGTGGAGAAGTACAGATCAGGGTTGGGTTATACAAAAATATCAGAAACGTTGAACATCCCACGGAGCACCATTAAATCCATTATAAAAAAATTGAAAGAATATGGCACCACAACAAACCTGCCAAGAGAGGGCCACCCACCAAAACTCACGGACCAGGCAAGGAGGGCATTAATCAGAGAGGCAACAAAGAGACCAAAGATAACCCTGAAGGAGCTGCAAAGCTCCACAGCGGAGATTGGAGTATCTGTCCATAGGACCACTTTAAGCCGTACACTCCCCAGAGCTGGGCTTTATGGAAGAGTGGCCAGAAAAAACCATTGCTTAAAGAAAAAAATAAGCAAACACGTTTGGTGTTAGCCAAAAGGCATGTGGGAGACTCCCCAAACATATGGAAGAAGGTACGATGAGAGAAAAATTGAGTATTTTTTGGCAATCAAGGAAAACGCTATGTCTGGCACAAACCCAACACCTCTCATCACCTCAATGTTTTTCATCGGCAGGGACTGGGAAACTGGTCATAATTTAAGGAATGATGGATGGCGCTAAATACAGGGAAATTCTTGAGGCAAACCTGTTTCAGTCTTCCAGAGATTTGAGACTGGGACGGAGGTTCACCTTCCAGCAGGACAATGACCCTAAGCATACTGCTAAAGCAACACCAGAGTGGTTTAAGGGAAAACATTTAAATGTCTTGGAATGTCCTAGTCAAAGCCCAGACCTCAATCCAATTGAGAATCTGTGGTATGACTTAAAGATTGCTGTACACCAGCGGAACCCATCCAACTTGAAGGAGCTAGAGCAGTTTCGCCTTGAAGAATGGGCAAAAAACCCAGTGGCTAGATGTGCCAAGCTTATAGAGACATACCCCAAGAGACTTGCAGCTGTAATTGCTGCAAAAGGTGGGTGAATAGTTATGCACGCTCAAGTTTTCTGTTTTTTTTTGTCTTATTTCTTGTTTGTTTCACCCCAAAAATATTTAGCATCTTCTAAGTGGTAGTCATGTTGTGTAAATGAAATTATACAAACCCCAAAAAATCTATTTTAATTCCAGGTTGTAAGGCAACAAAATAGGAAAAATGCCAAGGGGGGTGAATACTTTCGCAAGCCACTGTACGCCGAGGTTCCTGAAACTAGTCACATTTAGTGTGGATACAGGAGTAGCCTATTCTACAATAATGTAACTGTATGTGCTAGTATTATTTATCTAATTGATAAATGAAATTGTGGATGGGTACGCTACTTCATTCAATGATATTGTACAAGGTAGATACAGGAGAAGCCTATGGTCTACAACAATAATGTCATTGAATGTGCTATAGTGTAATTTATTTCATTGATGAATGAAATTGTAAATGGGGATGGGTAGGTTACTTCTTTCAGTGAATATTGAATGTCTTGCTATCTCTGGGAGTATGTTAATGAAGGCTTTTCAGCTGATGAACTATGGCAATGTCGAACCAATTTCTAAATCTATCTTTTTTTTTGTCAAGAAGTGATGAGCCACAGCAATCAATCAGCGTCCCTGCAGCTGTTCTACCCACCACCCCCACTGCTCTCCCTCCACAAGCAACCACATCCTCTTCTGTTCAACTAATTTGCCGCTACACCCATCTCATTGCAACATGATCCATCCAAGGCCTCAGCTGGACGCCTAAAATGTGAGAAATGTAAACAAGATGCTACAGTAGTGTGTGTGTGTGTGTGTGTGTGTGTGTGTGTGTGTGTGTGTGTGTGTGTGTGTGTGTGTGTGTGTGTGTGTGTGTGTGTGTGTGTGTGTGGATGGATGGAGTTCCAAAGAGCAGACATGAGTGTGATGTGCCCCTCTGTGTCAATGTTGAAATGCCATAAATGGAAGATGGCAAAGGAGATAGTGATGACAAACAATTGTTTACAGACAGATTATTTCACTCATAATTCACTGTATCACAATTCCAGTGGGTCAGAAGTTTACATACACTAAGTTGACTGTGCCTTTAAACAGCTTGGAAAATTCCAGAAAATGATGTCATGGCATTAGAAGCTTCTGATAGGCTAATTGACATCATTTGAGTCAATTGGAGGTGTACCTGTGGATGTACCGTATTTTCCGCACTATAAGGCGCACCGGAGTATAAGCCGCAGCAGCTAAATTGAATGATATTGGATGATGTGTACATATATAAGCCGCACTGGACTATAAGCCGCAGGTGTTTTAATGTTTAATTACCATATGTAAGGGTTCGTGCACAGAGGGGATTGTCGGGAAAGAGACAAACTGTCTCGCTCTCGTAATGTCTGTCTGTCTTGCTCTCGTTCTGTCTCTCGTACCACTCTCGGTTCCACTTTTACTTTTGCGCGCTACCTGTCTCACTCTTTTCCGGCCTCCAGCTTTTCCTGCTGGAGCCCGCCGCTTAAAGGTGTGGTGCGCGGACCGGTCATAGAGCCCATAGAGTTAAAGTTGGTGGACTGTAACCTGTAAAATCCATAGATTTAGGAGGTCTTCTAGTGGCCGTTAGCTGTAAAAATCCATAGATTAGCCGCACCGTTATATAAGCCGCAGGGTCGAAAAATGGGAAAAAAGGCGCGGCTTATAGTCCGAAAATTACGGTATTTCAAGGCCTACCTTCAAACTCAGTGCCTCTTTGCTTGACATCATGGGAAAATCAAAAGAAATCAGCCAAGACCTCAGAAAAACAATTGTAGACCTCCACAAGTCTGGTTCATCCTGGGAAGCCATTTCCAAACGCCTGAAGGTACCACGTTCATCTGTACAAACAATAGTACGCAAGTATAAATACCATGGGACCACACAGCCGTCATACCGCTCAGGAAGGAGATGTGTTCTGTGTCCTAGGGATCAACGTACTTTGGTGCGAAAAGTGCAAATCAATCCCAGTACAACAGCAAAGGACGTGGTGAAGATTCTGGAGGAAACGGGTACAAAAGTATCTATATCCAC